GCCATGTGTTTGTCCGACTGGGAGGCGACTAGACGCCGGTGTGACTGAGAATCTTCAAAGCCGGTCATTTTCCTATGCTGTTAAGGATTTTTCGGCATCGGTCCATCTTTTGGTAAGTTGTTCCACTTTCCTTATTTTCGTGTACAGCCACTTGCATTTATGTTCCATGTTTGCCCCAGGAATTTTGATCTTTCCCGCACCGATGCATTGACATTTTGGGTTATCTCGATGTGACATTACGCCGTCGCTATGCTGGTCGTTGACGTTTCCTTCCTTTGTCAGTTTACCAAGCGTAACGGTGCGTTAGTTATATCAACGTGACGTAGTACTACCGGGTGGCCGCGTGGTGACGCCACCGGTTAAAGGGGGCCGCGTGGTGGCGCTACCGATGTGCCGCGAGATGGCGCTCTAGGTACGTGATGGCTGCGCGGCCCCAGGCTCCTTTCGGGTACTTATTTTTTTCCTCTAAGCATACGAGTTTATATAATCAACATATGTTTACAGAAGCCGTTCGCAATACAAGGTAGAGCGTCCTGCTACGTGTTTAGGAACACTCGACGAAAACACGCCCGAGAACGCTGCACTTGTTATCCCTACCTTCTACAACTGAAACGGAATCTATATGCTACCGCCAGATCAATTCTGTCTCAATTTTTTGCCACTTAACTGAAGAAGTCAGTGGGTAGGCGAATGTATGAAATGTCATTTTTCAGCGGCTCATCCTTCTAAACCATGACAGATCAAAAGCTTTCCCAGAACTTGATCTAGTTGCTACAGAGACATTAACAAATCAGTGAGCGTAGATGGTAGATCGAAATGGCTGTAAACGAAGATTGTAGACTGCAGCCCCCCACTCTCACCCCACTCCTAAGAACTTTGCAAAACTGCAAAACGCGTAGATACAAATCTACTAATTAGAATGGTTTTACAAGCACCTGAAAACAAAGAACAAAACAAATTAGAACAAGATCGTGCGTTTCAAGATGCCGCCGAAGTATGCCTCGACAAATGCCTGCCAGGCGTTTGCGTCATGTTTTAGTTGTCATATTGATAATCTTGCAAGGAACAACCTGCGATATATTCCCGCATCACCATCGAAACTCACCAAAAACAAACAAAAAACAAAAACATTCTGATCGGGGTAGCAAAAAACAACTCTTGTAGTTATAACACAGCCCAACAGAATGGCGCGTAAGAACAACAGGAGGACGCATCTCAGCAGATTTACGCGTCCCACGGGCAAACAATGCGTTTCCATCGGCACAGGCCGGAGAGGGGTCACGAGACAATATCGTGTCGTGGGAACATAGCACAGCAGAACGACGCAGCCCACAGCTGAATGACGCACCCCATAGCAGAGCAACGCATCCTACAGCAGAGCAGCGCATTCCATAGCGGAACGACGCATCTCCATTGACATACACTGAAGGCAAAAAAACTAAAGTCAGCGTTAAAAACAGTCTTATATGGTCATATCATGGCCCAGCAGAACGGCACATTGCATAACAGTCCGGCACATCTCCATCGACATACGCGTGAGATCAGGTTTCCAAGTCAGTCAAAACGCAAGCACCGTCAGCTATCAACGACGCTCCAGCGCCGCACGCAGCCACTGGACCTACGTGTCATTCCGATCGGCAAGCTCCCTTGTGTCCTCCTCTTTTATGTCCCGCCTTTTGGTCAGAGCCCAGCACGACCTGGGCACGGCACCGCATTCACGCTCCTGCAGCCCGAAGCGTTCCAGGAAGGCATTGGCCGGGCGGCGCTCGACCAGGCCCAGTGGCTGAGCGAAGAACGTGTATGATATGGCCCACAGCAGAACGGCAGCCACAATCCTCTGCACCTCCGCCAATGTCATCTCCTCCACCTCCATAGTAAAGCGGTCTTACGGCCAGGCTGCTAGCCTCAGCTGCTGGTTGTTGCCCCCGACAGCTCGAAACAGGTCAGGCCACAGCGCCGAGCTGTGCATAGCAACCACATCTAAGGAAAACCCAAAATCAAACTGATAAAAGCAGGATGTGAGTGGTCTTTGACCTCAGCTCAAGCTGAGACATGAGCGGTTACAAGGGCCATATCCAGAATGGAGCCTTTGCCGAGATTGCGTGGGACGGCGGTGCCAAGAGGGCAAGGTGGTAGCCGGTGGCAAGGTATTTATTATAATACGTGGTTTATACGTCACCAACACCACCAGAGGCGGAGGGGGGGGGGGGGCGATATGCAATGGGTGCTAGGACCCTGTCCCCCCCCCCCACCCCCCACGTCGCAGGTGCACCAGCTCTAAGCATATGCTCATAGTGACCAGATGAGCAACGATTCACAAGCCAGCGAGTCAGCGAGAGCCAGTTGGAAGAAGTAGCGAGGAATGCACGATGGATATTTTGGCTGCGATAGAAAGAAATATAGGCCTGATTTTAAAGGTGGGCAAATCACAAGCCGGTGCAAAACCCCGAGGTGTCCGCAACAGCCTTAGCTAAGGAAAATCCCAACAGCCAGCAGTTAAAAGGTGGATACGAGTTATATTTGCATCAGCTCCAGCGAAGACAGGAGTCTTTACAAGCGCCACAGCTAGGACTGAAGGCCTGCCGCGAAGGAGGGTAAGGGGCTAAAGAACACCGACGCCCGGCGTTGCATTCTCCATGGGCTGCGCGGCTCCGGCTTCGCGGTTAACACCCCGCGGCGGTTAACGGGCGGGCAAAGATGACCGCGCACCGGAAAATGGTGCTTTTGATTGTTTTAAGAAATCAACTCGTATGCGGGCAAAAAGTGTCCCAGGTAGCATATTTTACCAGAAAAAATTTCAGCTCGATGCTCAGGACGACTTGGTTCGCACAGTACCACAAACTCATGACACGATGGCGTAATATCTATCATTCGGGTTGCTGAGACTGCTGATTTCGTTCAGTGAATCAGCGTCGAAACTTCACGACCGTTATTTCCTGGGTAGGACGTGAAGGGCTCTTTTATCCCAGCCCCGGGTCCCCAGCACCTGCCATTCTGGCGATGCGGGGACCAAGACCCCTGGTTTATCTGGGGGCCCTCAGAGGGATACATCAAGCCATGCGCGGATCGCGTACTGCTACGACAGATCCTCCGACCAGGGCACCTGGCACTGGATCGACGCAGCGGCCCTCACTGACACAAAGGACCGATTACGGGCGCAAGGAGCTCAATAGGTGACAACGGGACACCAAGTCGGCTCATCGGCACCTGGTTGACACAGCAAGGAGGTATCTCGTACGGTACTGGGACCTCTGACTGACACTGAGCACTTCCACTATCTCATTGTAAAAGTAAGCCTTTCCATCATCATACGTCTTTTCATTGTGAAACGATCCCGAATCTACGCAAGAGGCCCTTGAAAATTTGGTGTTCCGTAGCTGTCCCTATTCAGGAAACGCGCCATTGGCCGACTTTTGGCCTGATGTCGGCACAGCGTCCAGAGTTGGGCACTCTGGTCCCTTGACCAGCACAGGAAGCCCTTCACTATTTCAGGGGCCTGACCAACGCAAGAGGCGTTTTCAATGACATTTGCAGACCCGCGGCTGGCCCTGCTTGGGGAAAGACCCCCTGGGGCCTAGACCGGCAAGGAGACCGCTGTTCGGTATCGATTGCTAGCCAGCTGATATAGTGCGAGATTTGTCAGCTGATATAGTGCTGATATAGTCTAGTCTTCTTCTTAGTGCTTCTAGAGAATCGCTCAATCTGACGCAACAACGTAGTGTTATACGAAGTCATACATTCCTGAGATACTTTCTTAGGCAACACAACAATAGAACGAACAAATTGCATTGATTTATGGTCAGGTACGAAGGTCAGACCAAGGTCAAAACAAACTGGTTCCGTTACTCTAGCGTTTGTTGTATGGGATGGTTTCTGTTGCTCATTTAGAGTTTATTGATGACAGGAACCGGATTATAAACCTTCCATAGGCTTCTTAAAGGTCACAATAGGTGACTGACCTACAATGACCCAGGTCAACATTTTGTGGTTAGGAACGTACTGCCTAGCGTAATTTGTGTTACTTATCCAAATACAAAACGCAAAGCGGTCTTGTATGATTTTGGTAACCATGGCCTTCAAAAGGTCAAACTAGGTCACTAAACTTAGATGAGAATATCAAATTTTGCCCAGCACAGTTATCTAGGTTCTAGGGGCCCTTTGGGAATCAACTTGGAATTTAGCGTTGTTTGACCTTATTTGAAACAAAGGTCATGATCTAGGAGCCCCAAACTTTGATCAAGTAAGTTCACGTACCGGCCAAGACACCCTGTGAATTTTGTGTTTCTAGATCTCTTAGTTCCTGAGATCTTAGGGGAGTCAAATTCACCCCCTCCCCCACCCGAGCGAAGAGTATCCAACAGGTCACCCGTGCACGTGTTAAGTCATGGTCAGAGCTGCTCTGGCTCGACTGGCCCGCCACGTCATGTATATTGCGTCAACCATATCAGCCGTCCGTCTCCCCCTCCCCCCTCCCCAGCCGATTTCAGAGGGACATCCTGGCTATCAGCCAACTAGTCCAGTGCGTCACATTTGCAAAGGGTTAGCAGTAGTTCGCATCATAGCTTAAGTACGGAAATGTTCCCTTATTATTAAATGTTTTCGACACCTCCCTCTCCAGAAGCCGACGGCCGCAAGCGGTACACGTTGGCAGGAATGCGAGATGTTCTGTAACGTTTGACGAAAATAGGACGACAAAAAATGAATCTACCAAAGCTCAATTGGAGTTCTTTTCATGAAACAAAATTGCTGCAGTGTGGTATCTAGCATTGTTTACGTTGTTATGTGACAACTGCAAATTGCGTGAAAAATAACATTGCTTTATCATCAGTGTGTGAAAAGAAAGATAATTTTTCCAGGTCTTGCTCCGAGAAGATCGGGTAATGCTTTACATTGTTAGTTGAGCGTTCCACTCAAATCTTCCAGTGAAAAGGACTTTTCCTGAAGTCTCAAAACTTCACATGAGCTTTGACAAGACAAAACAATTACCTGCATATGGCTTAGCCTATGTTAAGGCTAAACACATTTGTAACCGCGGTTGCTATTTCTCGATTCCAGCGTAACCTTTCAGTCAAAAAGGCATCGTTGAGTGCAGGCATTTTTATGTAGTTGCGAATAACACTGTGAATAAAAATATATTCCGAGTTTGGCATAACTGGAGCTAATGTGTTACATGGCTTTGGGTCCATACCAAGGCCTGAGGTCTTCACATTCACGAAGGCTGATGATGGTGTGGGTAATCGATTGAGCGGGCAAAGTATCAAGAAAATTAAATTGCCAGTTTGCCATCTCGGAGATAAATGAACAGATGACGGTTATGAGATTAGCGCTGCACTGCTGCTACTGTCGGGCGAAAGGCCTGTATTTGTGTTTGGGGTCGGGGGCATGCGTGCGTGAGCGCGTGCTGAACTCAAACGTCGCAGCCAATGTTAGAAACCACAGGACGGGGTTAATGAAGAAAAACGCGTCCCCTGACAAATATCCGCATACATTGCTGCTCAAGACACCTTAACATATAACAGATTGAAGGCACACGTGAGACCTCCGTTCTGAGCGTCCCGTTTCGCTTTAGTCTTAACTGAGACACACCACGGCTGTGCTGCACAGCAGCGCCAGAAATATGGGCAAGGCGGCTGTTTGTCGGCTCGCACACTGCTTAGGCACCCTTTGCGCGTTGCTGTGGGTCTTAAACTTGATCCGTCCTTCCACAGCCGGGTGCACGGGAGACATCTGTCTCAAATAGCTAGCCAGCACAAACAGATCAAGCAACCCGTAACGTTTCCTTTCTAGCGGCTTCGCAAACATTTTGTAATCGTAACCGCCATTGGCTATGTAAGTGGACACGGCTATCTGGTACAGTTGCGACTCGTTCACCAACTGGTACTTCGGAATAGGACAGGTATTGCAGAGCAAGTGGCAGGACACAACACGGCCTCCTGGCCCATCCTGCGCGTCGTAAACGACACGCGCGCCGGCAAACTGCATGAACCGGCCGTCAAACTGTTCACGGAAAAGGTTTGATAGGCTGTTCTGTAACGCATGCATTATTGCACTGCCGGTGACAGTGATCACTTCGACGGCATTGCGAAACGGCAAAACAACGTCAAGGTCCGACAGGGTGATGTTTCCCATGGGGAGTGATGCGACGATTTGGCCTGAGTTGACAAAGGCGATGGTTGGAATCAGAATCTTTCCCTTATGGCTGACCTTACGGTTGATATTTACTCGCAACGCCCGGATGTATGCGTCAGCCAGAAAGTTGCCCAGGTTACACTCTTTCTTCGCGCATGTTTCTTCCAAGCCGACTAGTTGCACCAAAGACTGACCGATGGGCCGCATGGACTCATTATGGAGTCGTCCGAAGAATTCATCCACTGTTTTCTTGGCCTCCTCGTCCGCTGGCATGGTAGGCCTTATTAAGATCGGCTGTGACCACCATTCCTTCACCTCATCATCACGGTCGAACGTGATATTGATGTTGCCTACGTACCTGCCGCCCTTGTAGGCATGCACAACGAGGACGCGGCGCCCGCTGGACTGCATCACCACGGTGGGATACGGACCGGTGAGAAACCGCAGGTCTTCAATATCAGGAGGCACGCCAGCTTCCGTCTCGGAAAAGAAGTCCGGCCACAGAAGACTATGTGAGTGACCTCCAACAATCACGTCCAGACTGGGCACGCGGCGAGCAATCTCCCTGTCACGCTTGTACCCCGAGTGGCCAAGTGCGATCAATATCTTGACGCCTTTTTTCCTGAGCACTTTTACCTCTCGGGTGAGCGCCCTTATCTCGTCCTCAAAGATGATGTCGCCCGTATAAGAGTTGACTTGAGCTTCCGGAAGTAGATAGCCAAGAACGCCTATCTTTTTCTGGCCTACGGTGAGAATTCTGTGGCGTGGACACATCTCTTCTAATTCTTTTCTCAGCGTCTCATTGAGAGCACTGAATACCATATTCGTGCAAATGAAGACATTCGGACCCATCACTCTCATGAATGGGAGCAGTCCGTCAATGCCCTCGTTGAAGTCCTTGTCTCCAATCACCATTGCGTCGAACGGAATATGTTTTGCCATAGCCGCGGCCACTTCCCATTTAAAAAGCATATGCATGGCATCACCCTGGAAAAAATCTCCTGCGTTCATCACAAGAGTGTTGGGGTTATAAGGATCACCTCTGATGTTCTTTATGTACGCTACGCTTTGGGCGAATCCTCCAAAACATGTAACATTCTGATCGATCTGGTATGCCACTTTTCGACACGGACTGCCCCACTGGTCGACTAATCCGTAACGCGAATGCAGGTCATTCTGATGCAGGATAACAAGGTGGTAATCAGACGCTGCCGTGACACCAAAAGCCATCACCAAGATCGTGCAAATTGTTCGCCGTTGCATGACCTGTACGGTCGAAAGATCCACTTATAATCCACTGTTCCACAAGGCTGTAGTAAGACGCGTTTTCTTTTCTCCAGGTTGTGCAGTTGTCAACGAAAAGCACCTTTTTACGAAGGCCTCTCCTTCACATGCTGCGCTGCTGCGACTGGTAGAATTTGGTTAACAGATGAACAAATCAGAGACCATCTTATGCATAACGTTGTCATTGAAAGATAATCCTAGTTATTTACATGGCTTCCGTTGGACGATCAGAAGGCTGCAGCTGTGTCGAGGTGGCACTAATAAGATGAAGCGAAAGATATCGTAGGACACAGAGTGACAAACTGGCCTGAGATTTCAGCACAAATTTATCGTAAGCATTGTGGCGACACTACTGTTCCACTTCGTTGCCTCGTGCATTTTGTGGTCATGAAACTCTTGCCTGGAAACGGTGTGCACAGGATTACGTCTAGGTGAAAGGCATTAAAGGCTGTTTTCCACGTTTGTGTTGGTATTTGTATCCAGTTTCTGAGCTATACGTCCACGACGATGCGCATAATATTTCATGCAGACTTGTTTAAGGTATTAAGGCGTGCAAGACACAATGCATGCCTAAATAACGTCCCTGCTCAGAAAATGAGTTCCTGGCCGATGCTGGGCCTGTTGTCAACACAGAGTGAACTGTTGGGCATTGTGGTCCTCTGACCACCACAGGTGGCCCTTCACCGTCTCATGGGGCCGAACAATGCGATAGTCCGTCTGACTGACATCTGCAAGCCCGCCCTTGCCCCTGCTTGGGAAAGGACCTCCTGGGGCCTGGGCCGGCACGTAATCGGCTGCTTGTTTTTAGTCAGTCAGCTGATGAAGGACCCACACTGTTTTAAGGGCCCCCGATCGGAGCCCCCAAAAGTTTTGTTGCCTTTGTGGTGCCTCTGGAAATGCTGCCTCTGGCAACAGCGGTAAGCGTTGGAAATGCATAGTGTCCGAAAATGTTCAAGTACGCCAAAAAGTATGTAACTACCAAACCTCAATGCACGCTGTTTTTATGAAGCAAAGTTGCTTCGAAGTGTGGTATTTGAACTCAACTAGGCTGACATCTGACATCTAAAAAGTGCATAAAGACAGCATTGTTTTATCATTGTATGAGAAGTGATATAATTATTTTGTATTACTGTGCACTTGCACTTGCAGCACTTGGGCCCGGGCACTGAAAACTGCTTTTGAGAGCTTGCACTGTAAGTCCTCTGGCGAGGATGCTGTAGGGTCTCCACAATAAAACCCCTCGCCGCATGGTCTCATCTGAGACCAGTTTGTCACTTTATGAGGCCATGAGAACCGGCGGCACTCTTGCAGAGGCTTTGAGACTTCCCGCTCTCAAGCAAAGCTCTCGGCATGCCACCGTGAACATTCCGAGGCTGTTCACTGTTTTCGCAAAGTTCCCAGCTTATTGCCACCAGCGAAATCTACCAAAAAAAATGGAGGCACTTACCGATATGTTTGCGTTTAAACGTTTGCGCTGTAACCGAGATTGAGCGAGCTTGTTTAGCTTGGACATGAGCTAAATCGCACGCAGTTTGTTTCGTCGGTCACTTAGCTTTTAGTGCTATCGGTTATTGGCTCCACAAGAGGTACCCCCGTGTTAATCATCGCGCCGAGAGCGAGATAAAATATTTTTACGCGTTCACGGCGGAGAGATATACTGTCCAAATGTAAGTTGCTCGAATGCAGTCTACTTTTGTGTAACTGCAAACTATGATTTATAACATAATGGAGCCGAGGATCAGATATTTACAATTAAAGTAATATACAAAGACGGCTAAGGTAAGAACTAACATCTCACGATTTCAGCGCAAAGTTGCAGCGTTTGTGAGTTGGTAGACCCGGTATAGGCCACAGTAATATGACACCCAGTCCTTAAAGCAACACTATTGTGATCGTGATTTGTGAGCTTGTGGACCCGGTAAAGACCACAGAGCTAAAGGTGAAGACAATCAGTCCTTAAAGTAACACAGTTGTAATCGTGATTTGTGAGCTTGTGGACCCGGTAAAGGCCACGGAGATTTGACGCTCAGTATTTCGAGTACCTAACTGTGTGTTGTGAGTCTGTGGACCCGGTATTTAAGCGACAGCAGCATGGTGGTTAGTCTCAGCACAGCGCACCAGGAAGTTCGGGACCACAAAACGGAAGGCGTGCAACAAATGCGTTGACAAAAACCACCTTGCAAAAACGTGCAAAAGTCACCAAGTGTACGACCCCAGTCCCAAGCAGCGAGTGAATGCGACAAGTGGAGAAATCGCACCCAGTGGCTTTGCTCTCACGTCTGGCAGTGGTATTGCACACAGTGACCGGCTGACGACAGTGAAATTGCATGGCCAGATTGCGAAGGTACTGATCGACAGTGGAGCATCGGCGGACATCATAGCCAGAAAGGACTTTGCATAAAACTGCCCACCATCAAAGCAGCAAAGATGAACTGGTGACTGCTGCCGTATGGATCAAAAATCCCGCGGAAGCTGGATGGTCAATTCTTATCAACGGCTGCAGCCGACGATTGAGAAGCCCAGAGCTGTTGGCTCATATCAGCTGACGGCCAAGTCTCGCTCGTCAGTGGGGTGACGTCAGGGCTACTTGGTTTGATAGTCACTGGAAGACGTGTCAAGCAAGCAATTGAAATAGCTCGCTGGAACAAGTCCTGAACCAGCATAAGAAAGTTTTTGATGGCAGGCTGGGACATCCAACAGACGTCAAGGCCAGCCTAAATTTAACAGATATGGCGGACCCAGTATTCAGATGAGCGAGACCCGTGCCATAGGCGCTGCCAGACGAAGCGGACAAAGAGCTGAAAAGTGGGAGGACTCATTGATCACAGAAGGTATCGAATATTCTGACTAGAGCACACACAGGGCGTGTCGTCCGTATCGTTCAACACTATCAAAAAGTGGCAACATCGAGCTGCGTGGGAAAAGAGATGGTCTGAACACAAAGCCTGCATGACGTCATGCACACCATATTTGATGACGTCAGTGGCACGGAAGTCTCCCAGTTAGCCAGCTGACTGCTACACAACCCATTACATTGAAAGGTCCGTCAAGTCGGCACCACATTCACATTCAGATTCAGGTCCATATTCGGGGTGCAGCGGACCCCTCAAATTGCCCTGAAACTTTGCACACAGGTGCAGTTTAATCTCCTGAACGCAATGAGCACAAGATTTCGGAACGTTACGCCCTATTACCGGACATATATAAATATAAAAGATCACAATAAAAAAGGCGGACTCCTTCATTTCTCTCTGAACTCCGCGTGCTGGTAGATATTGACCTCCTGATAACGATAAACACAACATTTTGGACCGATACGCTGTGTCAAAAAAGTTTTAGCTGTTATAATGTCAAGGTCGTGAATGCAGCACGCATTGCATTTTATCATGCTTGACTCAGTTTCATATTCGATATTCGGTGGACTCCTCATATTGGCCTAAAAATTTGCCTAAAGATGCAGTTCGATCTCCTGAGCACAATGGGCACAAAATCTCGGACCGGTACGCCCAATTACCAGATATATCACAATGTGAAAGATCACAATAAAAAGTGCGGACTCCTTCAATCTTTTCCAAAATCCGTGTGTCGATACATGTTAGCCTATTGATCACGATGCACACAAAATTTGTGACCGGTACGCTGTATCAAAAAGTCATAGCTCATTCTACTTCAAGACCGCTCACAACGGAAGTCAACGTTGGGTTTCAATCGTTATTTTGCCGCAGGATACCGAACTCCACAGGGACCGCGCGTTGCGAAGAGCTGTTTAGGCACCGTCGTTGTTCGTAGCAGGGGTGGGCTGGGAAAGTGGACAAAAGTGGGTATGTTCAGCGTTGAGTTGTGCTCTCATGGTGTTCATCTTGTGATAACCACAACGGCTGGTTAGTGGTCGTATTTGATCGCATCAGGGAAGCCACCCGACCCGGGCGACCGTAAGCAATTGCGGTACTCGTCTGGCGCTTGGTGCGCTGTTCACTCAGATAGGGTGCTGACAATTAAATGGTTAACGCGTTTGCGTGTACTGGCTAACGCGTCGGTGTTAACCATGTCGTCTGCAGTGGTTAACACAGACGCGTTAACCACTGCACCTTTGGGAAACCCGAGGTACAGGGTTTCATTCTCTGGGTGGCACAGGTACAGGGTCTCATTCCCTTCCAGCCAGGGTGAGCCATTGGGGACCTCATATGGCCCTATACACTGTATACAGTCAAGTCTCCTTAAAAAGTTCACAGCTTAAAAATTGATAAGTGTTGGAAACAGTGTAGCGGTGGACCATGTGCGGCAATAGATCATGCCCCAGGACAGTGTAGCGGTGGACCATATGTGGCAATAGATCACGCCCCAGGACAGTGTTAATGTAGGGAAACGGTCACGGCTCAGGGGCGATGCGTTGGCCCGTGGACGCGGTGGGGTGGGACGCGGTGGTGCCGGCGAGTCGCGCGCCGATCGTGTTGCGGGTGGGCTCGAAAGGAGTATACGAGGTGCTGCTGGGGGCGCGTAGAGAAAGTATCTCTGTCGGCGTTGTGTGCGGCAGCTCGCCGTTGTGTGCAGGGTGGTCCAGCCGCGATGTGACCCCGAATACTAACGGGCAGATAATAATTGATTTTTTAACATGTTAAGCGATAACTTCTGGGCTCCATCTGCACCCCCACCTCTCATTTCAGTGTATTTGTGATACCATCGCCAAATTAGAGACAGCAATTACCATGGAGCAGGTAAGCTTGAGGTGTATTGTTGGACTGGTTCACAAGGGACAGTATTTTGGGGGAAATTGCTACTGTCCCATTTTCAATACGACATTGTACATGCCTAGGTGGTGGGATGTGGTGATCTAGCTGGCCTTCCATACTTTTTCAGCCACTGGTCGATCTCTCTCTCTGTACCTTGTTGCTGTGGTTTCAAGTTCAATGCTTTGCTCAGACTTTTGTCCTGTTCTTTGTTCCATATGTCTTCTCTTTGCTTATTGTCATGATGTGCTGTTCTCTGTCTAGTATCCTTTTTCCATACGCCCTCCTCCTGAAGTGTGTGCACTCTGCTCTCAGGTGCATGGTCCTAGACATCGCTCAGACTGCTTGCAAGTGTTCAACCCCAACCACCATAAATGAGACTGCAAGCTGTTTGTTGTGATACATTTACTTTCCAGTCTTTCTTATATCTCCAAAGTGTCTCTTGTTTGTGCTGTAATGCTCATCCAACTGATGCTTTGAATGATAGAAATAACATCTCGATTTAGTTGCCATCTGTCCAGCATGCCTTTTATGCATGGCTACGGCCCTGTCTTCTGTCCCCTGTACTGAACACTAAACACAGATTACTTGCCATCAGTTTTG